CAGTACTGAATCGACACCATGTTTTTGTAAAATTGGCAATGCTGTCTTTTCACCGGGTAATTTACCTTTTTTTTTCAATATATTTTGATTTCCTTCAAAGTTTATATTCTATTTTCATAATATTTTTGCTGGTTTTTATATTAATATTCACATGTATTTTACCTGAATATTGTTGTAGCCTTTTTTTTCTGTGTATTTATTTTTTTCCATTTTCCTGCTCTTTCTTTAGGCGATGTTATTTATAACAGAACAGACAGCGATGGATGTAGTTTTTATGCTATTTGCAGTCATACATGTTCAGTTGAGCGTTTCACAGGATCATGTGTCTCTAGTACCACTTCAGTCATTACCTCCCCTGAAATAGCTACCACAACTACTTTAGTTCCTTCTACTACCACTCCTGGAAAGACAGGTTGTTATTCTAGTACTCACCCTCCCTTGCAGGTATGTGATTACTGTGTTCTTTTAGAATATTTGACTTTAAAAAGTAATATGTTGGTACACTCAAAAAAGTAGTTTTCATTCTTTAATATATCTATATCTGAAATGGTAGAATAATATTTTTAATTATGGATTATACAGCTTCTAATTTTTTGTCATGAGAGACAATTTTTAGGTTTCTTCAAGACACTATTCTTTTGCAAGAGAACAGTAATTATCTGTTTTAATGGTTTTAGTTCTTAGCATAGCATGCAGGCTTCAAAATACTCTGCTGCATAAACATGTATTTTTTTTTCCTGATTGTCTGTGGTTTGGTTTCCTGATTGTCGGTAGTTTGAGAAAGTGTATATAGGTAGGGCAAAGGTGATTTATTGCTGCATCCTAGAGTCTACCTCAAAACCTCAGGAGACTTCCTCATGTAGAATCAATAGTTGCAAGTAAGGCTACTATTCCTTTTAAGTCTTAGCTGACTTTCTAATTCTCCAGGATATTGTCATCTTTGCACCACCAGTGGAGAATTACATTGTAGCCTTTGTTCCAGATCTGGAAAACAAGTAACAGTTTTGGGTCATCCGTGCTCCTGTCAGGAACATAAATGCCAGTAATCAACATCACAAATTATTAATATCACAAATTCAAGAGTTGGAACATATATTCCTATCCAATGCCATCATCACTGGAAGCATTATATACCGCTAGATGAAAAATATGGATAAAGTTCATACCTGTTTGCAAAGATCCGTGACAGCGATTTCTGTTCATTTTGCAGCCTGGTCAAAAAATGAAATTATCCAACTGCACGGAAATCATCTGCGAAGGAGATAACAAAGAAAAAGTACTTCAAACAGAATGTCCACCTGTAAAGGAAATCAGCTGTGCCAATAGATATCCACCAATTCTGGTACCTGATGAAAATGGCTGCTGCTACCACTACGAATGTCAATGTAAGCATCAGTAAATTAAAGAATTACACTTTCGGAAACAAGCAAAACTTTACATGAAATACAAGGGGATTTTTATTTCTCTGGATTGCTCTAGAAATTGTAATACACTCAGTTACGCTTCTACATTCTTTTTCTACATTGATTTTAATATTAATCTTCTAAATACTTTCTCATCATCAGGTGTGTGCAGTGGATGGGGTGATCCTCACTATATAACTTTTGATGGAATCTACTACACTTTCCTTCAAAACTGCACTTATGTTCTGGTGAAACAGATTGTGCCTAAATATGACAACTTCCGTGTTTACATTGAAAATTATTACTGTGATTCAGAAGATGGACTTTCCTGTCCTAAATCAATTATTATTTACTACAAGACTTCAGAAGTGGTACTGACCCGTCAACATATGAAGAATATGGTAAAATATACACTTTTTTATTTCTCTAAGTCTATTTTTCCAAAAGAGAAATAAGGCCTTGGCCTTACTGATTTGTAAGACCATATGTTAGAATATTAGGATATCATAACCCAAAGATGACTAGGACAGACATCCCTAGGAGAGAAATATTATACCTATTTCTAGGAATAAAATGTCAGAAACATCGGAAACAGCAGAGTACAAATATATTATATTTATGCATAAGTATATATAAAATAACAGAAGGAAACAAACTAATACAGATGACAGAGAAGACAGAAAGAATGTTTGTACTGTTCCTTAAGGATTAATCTTTCACAAAGATTAATGCATTGTGTGCTCATTTATTTAAGCAAACACGTTATGAAGAAACATAACATGATAAGAAGCATGCTTTTTTTTCCCAATGGTGGAGACTGGTATGTATCCCATATGTAGGATTCCCTACTATATATGGGGATCTTCAGTAACCAGAGCCATGGCATGGCTCCCTCTCTGACTGCCTGCTAGGAACGGAAGTACGGCTTCCGAGGAGAGGTGAACAGGGATGTCCCTTTGCATTTATAATCTTAAATCAGTGTTGGTGTCTAGTGAAAATCAAGAGTCAATTATTCTGCCATTGAATTAATTAATTGGTCAGAACGCTCAAATAGGTGGGAGGATATGTTGTCCAGCTGCCCTCTGCTCTTTCAGAGCCACACCAAGCTCTGGCTTGGTGAAAAGTCACACAGAAACAGCCCAGTAATTCCCTGTGAGAGAAAACAGAAATTGACAGTATTAACTTCTACTTCATTACAATTCAACGAGAAGAATGTTGCAGAATAATTCCCAAGAAAAAGTTATTAGCAAATAAGCCACCTTCATTAGCTCATGTAAGATGGACTGCAAATGGCAGAGCTTAGATTAAAGAGTAAATATGACAGCTGAGTAAGAACAGCACTAAGCACATTTCACTTCATCTTGAATTGAAATGACTCTTCCATTACTAGGCAACATGCAGTGTTGGGACTGTATGATTTTGTAGGAATTTTGAAGTTATTACATATTAATGGTAGGCATATTTTTGCAATTCACAGAAAAATATCACTCATTTCTATGCGGAGAAGTTTACATTAAACAAATGTTGGCTTAGAATGATGTGCATTAGCACACATGGCAAAACATGGCATATGCCCAAATATGGCATATAGCAGCCAATTCATTGTTGTTCTTATGTTTTTATTATTATTACTATTACTGCTACTATTATTATTCTGTCCCACTTGAACAATATAGTCACACAAGCTGAATACGAATGCAGCATATGTTGCTATTCCAAAGAAACCGTCATTGAGTATGATGCACAGCAATGAGTTTTGCATAATTATGAAGATTAGAAAATACATTATTTAAAACAATCATGCAGAAGGAGCTCTCATTAAAGTTTTTTTTTTTTTTAACCTTACTCTATGTTCAGATTTACTTCAATAAAAAGCTTGTCCAACCAGGCTTCAAGGAAGATGGCATTTCTATTTCAATGCTTGGCATCAACATGATTGTTGAAATACCAGAGATTGGTGCAACGATTACCTTTAGCGGGCTGATATTCTCGGTGAAGCTCCCTTTCAGCAAATTTGGCAACAACACTGAAGGACAGTGTGGTAAGACAGATTCGTTCTCTCTCATGCACTCTCTTTATCTAGGCTCATCACAGACAGAAAATTTTCAAATTGCATTTCAAAAAAAATGGACTTGAAAACAGTTTAGATCTTAAACATCTTATTTTAAGATCAACAGCTCAATATTACAAACACATTATAGTTTTTTTTCCCCAAACTAATTTAGAATTCATATAAATGTAGAGAAAGCATTCCCTGTGAAGTAGGGCATCTGATACATTTCATGTGCAAATACCTTCTGAATTTGATCTGTTTTGTGCACCTCAGATGTACCTTATGTGACTTACCTTGCTCCTCTCTGATATTTTCCAGGAACATGTTCAAATAACAGATCAGATGAGTGTCGCTTGCCAAGTGGCAAGATGATTTCCTCCTGTCCCCAAATGGCTCATCACTGGCATGTTGGTAATGACACATCATGCAAGGGCGTACCACCAGTTGTAACCACACCTCCACCACATCATCCCTGTGAAACACCTCTTTGCAATCTTATCAAGAGCAAGTAAGTTAAAAAATGAATTAATTTACTCTTCCTTAGCTAGACAAGGATTTCTCAGTATCTTACAAAATGAGCAAGAACTGATAGCCCTATCATGCAATGTTATCTTAAAATATCAGCTTAATGACAGGATATAGGTAGTAAACGGCCTTTGCAAAAACAAACAGACAAACAACAAAAAAACCCGAACTGCTCTTCTCTAAGGACTTGATGTCCCAAAGATATTCAACAACAAGCAAAATTCACAGTCCCTACATTTCAATTGGTTTGATTTATGTATTTTCGTCCCTCCCTGCTTTCCAGGCTATTTCTACTATTAACTATAACTATTAACTTAGCTAAGTGTCTACTGAACTTTAAATTTGAACTAGACCTTTAGTACAAACAGTAAAGAGCCTTACCAACCAGACTAACACCAAAAGTATCTTTCAATATTTGTGCATTTTTTATAAAACACAGAGCTCCAAAAGCACCTGTATTAACAAAGGCCTGTTTCCTATATAACTGTTTCCTACTCTCACGTGAACTATAACCAAAGCTTGTTTTTTAGCTGGGTTATTTATAAAAGCCTCTCCCACATACTTGCTGCAGTGTCTAATAAGTTACAAACTATTACACATTTCCACTTCCGGAAAAAAGTTGGGCACCACTTTTTCCTCTACCTAATGCAGTTGCCTTCTTCAAGAAACTTCTGGTGTCAGACAAACATAGAGCTGGGTAAACATACTCAAATATTATGGCTATTAGCCTCTTCAGCAGAATTGGCTCAATTAGTTCTGAGGGCTTCACATTTCCTAACCTTTCCTATCCTGAGTCTTTTGCCCAGATTAGTGATCCTTTTTAGAGTTAATTTTGCTTCCTGTAATGTATTGTTTCTTGAAGGAACGAACAATGTGCTTTTAGCTAGGAAGGGGCTGTCTGACAATATCTGATTTTATATCTGATTTTATATGATTAACATGGAAGGGTTTTGGTTTCTTTTCTGTCTCAAGAGTTTTTGAAGCATGTCATGATGTGATACCGCCAGAACCATTTTTCAAAGGCTGTGTTTTTGATGCATGTCGCATACGCAATGCTTCCATTCAGTGTTCCAGTTTAGAAATGTATGCTACAGAATGTGCTGCTAGAGGTATCTGCATTGACTGGAGAGGAAAGACCAACTTTACATGCCGTAAGTATTGCAGAATTCAAAAATGTATGTGTAAAGCATTGTTAATTAGGATTTTATTCAGTAAACATACTTAGCATCTAACACGTGACTGCACTATTTTCCTAGAAAAACATACATACAGCTTTACCAACAGAAGCCCCAGATGACAAAGGCAAAGCCAGAAACCTAGAGAACATTTGCTACAAAAAAGTATCCGATACCAATTTTTGAACTATTTCTTTCCTTCCCCTTACAGCATACAACAAATGTCCAGCAAACACAGTATACAAGGCATGTGGGCCCATTAATCCTGCTACCTGCGAGCCAAGGTATGAAAAGACAAAAAAATTACAACTCTTACTCTTTGTCTTTTTTTTCTGGTTACCCAGGCACGATCCTTAGAAAATGAAATTACTAAAAACTTTCATAGTGATACATATCTCATAAATTTATATAAACTAAATTTATATAAACTATTCAAATTTTAATTATCTCATTGATCAGCTCCATAAATCTGCACTTCCTGTTGTACTTTAAAAAATGTAAATTCTTGGTCTCCCTTCTATATGACATTGTGACCTTTAACAAACATTGCCCCAATTTCTGCTTTACAGCAAAAGCATTGTACTCAAATATATGTATTCTTTCTACACTAGCTATGTTGAGCACAGCGGCTATGGTGTAACTGAAGGATGTTTCTGTCCAGAAGGACAGACTTTAATCAGTGAAGACAGCAGTATCTGTGTCTCTGAATGCTGTAAGTATTCTGTATTTAGTCTGGGGAATAAACAGAAATTAAGAGTGGAAGTCAATGGAGTTCTACTGGCATTTTTATGTGGTCAGATCATAGGCAAATCATTTCAGTTTGTTTAAGCTCCCTTAGTCTCTGCTTCAAAAAACCGAATAATGATCAGTATTCCTTACTTCCCTTTACTTATGGCAGATATAGCAAGATGGAGAAATTCTGTCCTTCATTTCCAAAGGACTACTTCGTATATTCATTTTTTGTTAGATTTATCTTCATAGCCTTTCTGTTTTAAACTGCACAGTATGTTAGTTTTCAGCAATGTAAATATCTATTATTTTCTATTTTTCAGCTTGTAGGGAACCAAATGGAATATCCAGAACGGTGAGTATGACAATCAGTGTTTTATATGAAGCACACACAGGGGAAGCAAGAGAGCTTCACAAGAACAAAGTTTGATTAAGTTTGAAATTTTAGCTTTTTTTTTTTCTCAAAAGTTTGTTCCCTTTATGTTTTAAAAATAACAGTGAGTTTGATAGTTGAAATCACATGTTATTTCCTGAGACATTAAATGGAAAGTGAGGTGATATTCTTCCAATAATTAAAAAGAAAAGGGGGGAGGAGGAAGAGAGAGAAAGAGAGAGCGAGAGACAGCAATGATAGTAATGGAAAAGAGGCATATTTCCTTCCTTTATTTCCATAAATTTGACCATCTAGAGTTACAGAGACAAATGGACAGATAGAAAGAGTTTATTGTTAAAAATTCTGACAAGCTGCATTCTTCAGTTCTCAACTGCAGAAAAATTACACAAACTTCTCTCTGTAATCTAATATGCAAATGAGTATGTGATATGGCAATTGCATATATGAAAACACATGCAAAACTCAGTCACTTCTCCTTTACACCCTTTCTATCTCCCATACTAACTCCATAAATAAGTAATTATCAATAGCTATATGGACATACTGAGAATTTTTAGTGACCTCCAGTATCTTGCCCTAAGCAGTTTCCATTTAAGGGTTTCTTATAAAATCTAGAAATAATATAAATATGAAAATGTTGATGCAATCATGTATCACTAAATCCATGAATAAGTAAACTATTATCAAAAATTGACTTTTTTTTTTTTTTTCGATACAGCCAGGAGAAAAATGGATGAAGGATTGCCAGGAATGTGTCTGTGACAAACATACTCTTAAAGTACACTGTACAAGACACGAATGTCCTCTGACACAACCAGTGTATTGTCATGATCCAGGTTATGTGCCTGTTCAGGTACAGGTACCAGAAGATCCATGCTGCAGCAGGACTGAGTGCTGTAAGTACAGTTCACATTGTTTATTATGATGAATATACTGTTTTTATTGGAAGGAATTTAACCAGTAATTTTTCAGTTTTTATACTTTTAATTGATCTGATAAAGCCTTATTTTTTCCCCATTCCACTTCCTAGAGCCTTCTTGTAGAATATCTACCAGATGCCTGAAGAAAGCAACTCTAAAGACAAATACCTTTTACACAGTTAGATACACAGAAAAGTAACTAAAAATTTCCTGTTATTTAACTTTTGGAAGGAAAAAAAGAAAACCTTTAATGTCAGTTCTTACAACAGCAACCAAAAATATTCAAAACATTTTTCCGTGAAAAAATATTGTCATCAAAAGTTTATTCAATCTTTTAAAAAAATCTCTTAAACTCTTAAAAATGTTCTTGAACCTCTGAGAGTCATCAGATTTTCCAACTGTTTCAAATTCCTCTTTCCAGCAATCACCACTATATTCTTCTCAGGCAATACTTCGTTTTCCAAAGGCTACAGAAAAGCTCATTCATTTCAAAAAAGGCTTGGAAGCTTGGAAAAATTATTGAGACGTCATTAAACTAGCCTCTCTACATTTACATCTGCATCACTGCATCTGCCCCAAGGGAGAACTTGTTCTTGCTTGTGAAAACAAAATCACCCTAATTTACAATTTCTAAATTCATTATTTTCTATCTTGTTACATTACACAGTCTGCAACACTAGCCTCTGCCCTGAGGTCACACACAAATGCTCAGCAGGACAGGAAATAGTTACAACAACCCAGCCTGGAAAATGTTGTCCTTCCTTTGAATGCGGTAAGTACCATGCACCTTCTTCATGCGTTACTCTGAGCTATACTTGAGAAAGCTGTTCAACATAAAAAACACATAGGATAAAGACAAAAGTTATTTGTGCTATCATATCTGGACAACAAACAAACAGACTTTTTACATTCCTCTGCTTCTTAAAACGTATATGTGCATGTAACTATCTTTTTTCCCTTCTTTTTGGATTAACAGAACCTGGCTGTGGAGTCAATGGCACCTTCTATCCAGTAAGTACACAATAACTCTCTATAAACATAGTTTAACAATACAACATTTCTGAGACTGCTATCACAGACTACATCTTGCATGATAAAACATTATTATTCATTTCATCGAGCATATGAACATCCTTCCTATAGGCTCTCCTTTCTTTAGTAGCAGAATTTCCCTTCCAAAATGTAAAGCATTGCTGTTACCAATAACAGAAACTCTGTTTAATTAAAACAATCAAACCAGTATTTATGCCCATACATAGCTCGGTTAGGTATTGCCTATAATGACTTTTTTTTTCCTCTGACTTTCCTAGCCTGGAGCTGTCATCCCATCAGGTCCCTGTGAAAAATGCACTTGCTTTAATTCCTCTTACTCAAGGCCTCATCATGCCTTTGTCAAGTGCGAGCCTGTTATCTGTGACACATACTGCCCAGCGGTGAGTGCTACTTTGCAGTCAGTAATTCCTACCCTGTTCAGTCCAAATAACTGTCAAAGTTGGTATCCTGTCTCAATGCCATTTCCTCTGCATTTCTTTCAAAACAGGGTTACAAGTATAAACAGGAACCTGGCCAGTGCTGTGGCACATGCAAGGCAGTGGCTTGTGTAGTGACCCTCGGAGGCAAGACACATGTGCTCAAAGTAACTATCCCTCTTATGATCTGGTGAACTCTGCTAGCTTCTTTGCTCATTTCTGTCCTTATCTATATCACATTTATTTGCGCTGTCTGTTCTCATGTTAGATTGCAATGCTTATTTAAACATGCAGAGGACTGTTTCACATAGCTCAAAGAGCACCTTTGCTTACAAGACAGAAGCCTTAACTGAGGCTTCTGGAAGCAACTCTGATACTGAACAACAGCTTTTAGAAATCAAAACAGAAAACATATAGGTGAAAGTAATGGTCCCTCATTTGCTCTCCACTCTGAAAATATAGCACCAAAGGATTTGGGGTTTTGGTTTTTTGTTCAAAGGATTTTAGTTTTATGTATCTGGAAGCATTTTTCTGCCCCAAACAGCCAAGTAAAAGTTAGCTAAGAGCTATAAAATAGAAGCTGCCTAAGAGTTTTAAAATAGAAGAGGTCAGTAAAGCTAGCGGAAATTCTGCCATATATCGGAGTGGGATTAGGACAGACCCCATAAATTCTGATGAAAAAAGGGTAGGTTGAAACCATCAAAATGTAAGTTCCTCTTTTCAAATTAGTGCACATGCTTATCCCCTTCCTACAAAAACATGGGAGTATCCAGATAAAAATATAGTCTACTCACTTGGTTAATGAAAAAGACTTAATACAGTGTGATGACAAGTAACTATCAGCTGAGATTCGAGGATATTAAATAGGGAGCAATGATAAATTTTAAAAAATGCATTTTGGGGTATTGCTTTTACTTAACAGATTTTTTATTCACTTTTATTTAATTTTAACTACTTACAGGTCGGAGAAGCCTGGAACCCACCTGGGAATAACTGTACATCTTACACATGTGAAAAATATGATGACCAGTTCATCCCAGTCATTGTGCAGAAAAGCTGTCCTTCCCTTTCAGAGATCTGTGATCTTGTAAGTACTGTTTTATTAATTCTTGTATTTGTTTGAAAAGATCACAGTGGCATGACACAGATGAATCCAGGATCGCCATGTTAAAAAAACACAGGCAAATACAGGACCACCATGTTTAAAAAAAAAAAAAAGGCAGGAGCATTATAGGTGGTGCAACTCAGATTATATTCTATTTGTATATGGCCCCAATCAAATTTCACTTCAGAAGGCAAATCATGATTAAAAAGGGCGGCATATTAGTCATTGCTGATGCAAAAGTACAGAGCAAGCACTATAGAAAATGCCATACCATACTGTTTTGGATTTCCAAGTGTCAGGTATCCTAGGAGCAAGAATCTTATTGGAAAATACTCGTGTGGATTTCTATTCCTAAATTATTTAAGTTTACAAGATCTTTTTTTGAGTTCATCCATTGAGAGCAAAGCAGAAAGAAGATAAGCTACTTCAATTAGCAAAATAATTCAACTTAGTATTTCTCAGGCTAGATCAGAATCAGTCCCTCATGTGTAGGAGGTATTTCATTAACTCTTATCTTTGCTGACATAATCCTCTGTGTAGACTTTAGTGCCTCAAAATACCCTATGTCTGTTACAAGTCTTATTTCTAAAATCTGACTACTAAAATCTGAAAATGGGAAGACAATTTCAGTCCCATTTAATGACAGATGGTGAAGAATTTTTTTGGCACAAGATAAACTTACAAAGCAGGGAAAATCTCTGCTTTAGCATGCAGATATGAAATCTGAGTTATCTTATTCTGTTTTCACACTCAAGGATGACATGATGATATCAGAGGATGGCTGCTGCAGAGTGTGTCATAGACCAAAGAAAAGTAAGTCATGATAATTTTTAAGTTAAAGCACAATGTATGTCTTACTAAACATGTTAGTCCATTTTGCATGGCAGATGCTCAGGCAAAGCCAGTGAACAGAATGAGTTTGGGAGCAGTGCCTCACATGGGAGTGAGAAAGGAAAAAGATGTTAGGAATAGAACATTCCCAGCACCCACCTCAAAGCCTTTGAAAACACGTATAGGATGAACTTTCCCATGCCTTGCCATTAAATATTAGCCTATTTGTGGCTATCCACCTACCTTTTGTAGATGCATCCTCTTTGAGGGAAAAGTGAGTCAGTCCTGGGAGGTGGAGGAGCACTGGGGAGTTGCCACAGTGGTTCTCTTTCTGCATCACACACGTGCTGCATAAAGAAAGAGAACTTTTTTCATTCACTGCTAGCACAAGCAGGAAGAGTCATCATTAGGCCATAAGCAAGAGAACATGCTCTGTTACCTATTTCCTCTATGAGGTTTTCTATTAAGAACCCTGTATTATGTACAGATGTCTACTTATATACACCCATATTTAAACATATTTTAACAGCCTGTAAGAAGCACATTAACACTACTGTCATTGAGCACCAAGGATGTGTATCTCCTGCACTCGTTGAGCTGACATACTGTGAAGGTAGCTGCAATACTTACTCACGGTAAGTGGTATATAAAAGCTCCCTACTCGCTCACTTTGCTTGTATACAACTGAGTCTATGGTTTCCTATCTTCTATTGATTACACTGGTAACAGAAAGCGAATTTTAATTGCCTTATTAATATGTCCATCACCCACTCAGCTATCAAGTGCTCATGTCGTTGTGCTAACGTGAACCTTTAACAGATGTGATATGAGGTTAATTGCCTCAAGACTCACCAGCTTTTAACAGACAGATCAGTACCACAATGAATAGACCCATATTACTGGCCTGTGTAAAAGTGATCTGTTTCATTCTAATCCCTGTTTTTTGACTGGCTTGAATTGTTAATTGCAATAATTCATTTAGGTTTTCTCTGTCCTAATGTAGAGCTATATTCATCCATTTTTACAGTGAGTAGCAACTTATTTTTCAGCACAGTACTCCCAGAATGTTAATATCAAGCTATTGCTTCCCATGCAAATGCACAACTTTTTGTTTTGCCAGTAGTGGATGAGACAGAGTGGTATTTCTCCCAACACCAATTCTGAATTTCTTGTTTTTTTTCTTGCAATCAGATACTCTACAGAGGCAAACATGATGGAACATAAATGCACATGCTGTCAGGAAATCGAGACCAGCATAAGAACGGTGACTCTGACATGCAGTGATGGCTCCCAGCGTGATTACTCATACACCTATGTGGAAAAATGCAACTGTGTTGGCACTGAGTGCGTTCTTCTAAACGCTGAAGATCCTACTAACAGTATCAAACAATCAGTGAAGAGAACAAAGGCTTTGCCAGGAAAACGAAATGTCTAAAATGAGAACTAGTGAGAAGCCAAATAAGGAAGAGTTGAACATAGACTAAAATAAACCTTTCAAAAAACAAAAGTGTCAAAAGCAGCTAAAATATTTGGAATGAACAGATGATATCTTCTGCCTGTCTCTTATATTATTTTAGTTTTCATTCCAATGCATCTTCCATTGCTTTGAACAGCTTTTCTTTTATACCTTGAGAGGTACAGCATAAGATTGTTTTGACATTTGCTGTTTCTTTGTTTGCAGTCTTGATATAGACTAATACACATAAAATAAACATTACTATGTACAAAATTACATTTTGCTAGCCATTGCATTCTGTATCCACTTGAACATAACTAATCTTTCCACTGACATAGAGTGACCATTTTTAGAACATTTTCATTTCATCCATTGAGGTAGATCAAAAGCTAAAGTCCAGGAAAGAAAAGAAACAAGCAAAGAAAACTGTACCTCTCAGCTTCTTTCTTTTTCTTTTTAGGGAAAACTTAAAACTGTATAGAAATCTGTATCTTCTCAAAACTTCAATATTATCAGTAATTTATCACGGGCATTCTCCCTACATACTCTTGCAAGAAAGACAGAGAGACAGACAGACAGAAATTCTATCATGAAAAGCTGCTGCACACTACTCTGTTTACATAATACCATCAGCATAGTAACTATATGAAAATTTGGATTTGTTTGTTTGTTTGTTTGTGATTAACTGTTTACAGAAGAAGTATATATATATATATATATATTTTTGCCAGCAGGGGCATATGAAGGATTTTTGTAAACAAAAGTAAGAATAATATTATATGTAAATTCTTTCCTATGAAGTCAAGATTTGTTTTAAAAAGTCATACCATTGCTATTTATTTTATTTTTGGAAATCTGTTTTATTGGGCCATTTCCTCCAGAATTTGTTACCCCATTCCTTAGTCTTAGAGATATTATTTGGGTGTGGTATATTTTCTTCTTCCATTTTGTTTTGGAATATTGTTTATTTTGGTCATTACTAGAAAAAAAAAAGATGATTAATAAATTTTAAGCATTTTACAGCTTGTGTTATCATCTGTCTTTTCATCAAATCCCTTACAAGAGCGTTATAAAATACTCTATAAAATACTCGCTTCACACTGAACTGGAGCCATTCCTGAATACCTCCAGTTAAAAGGTCAATCAGAAGACTGAGAGGAGATCT